TCGATGGCTCTAATACAGTTACTTTACAATGGACAAGTGAAGGAAAAACTGTTGTGGCAACAAGAACAGCTGCAGAAAAAGAGAAAAGTCCTGACAGAATATGTCTGGATAGACGAGGGCTTACTTCCTTTCCAAATATAATTGGAGAGCCACGTTTACGTTTATTGTCTCTTCAACATAATCTTCTTACAAAAATTGAAAACTGTAATTTCTCTCAGTTAACAAAATTGGTATTTCTTGATCTATATGATAATCAAATTGAAAAAGTATGCAATTTTGAAATATTAGAAAATTTAAGAGTACTATTAATTGGAAAGAATAGAATTAAAAAGATCGAAGGGTTAAAACAACTTTCTAAATTGGAAGTTTTAGATTTACATGGCAATCAAATTGTACAGATTTCAGATTTGAATAATCTTGTATCCTTAAAAGTGTTAAATTTAGCTGGAAATAACATTAAAGCTATAGGTTATCATGATTTCCAAGGTTTAATATCATTAAAAGAATTAAATCTTAGACGCAATAAAATCAAAAAACTATTAGGTTTTGATGAAACTCCACAATTACAAAAATTGTATTTAAGCAATAATGATATTTCTAAGTAAGTATTTCATAAATATATATTTTATAAAAATATGATGCATAATTTAATTATAATAATATACTTAATAACATTATTCGTTTGATATTTGAAATTTTAGAATTGAAGACATAGGAAGTCTTGCTAAAGCATTACACCTTAGAGAAATAACAATTGATGGAAATCCTGTAACATTGAATGGAGATTATGTTTCTTTCCTTGTATCATATTTACCAAATTTACAATTTTTATCAAGTATGCCAATTACTGAACAAATCCGAAGAGCTGCTATAGCATGGAGAACAACAAAAGAACAAAGTAATTCTACTTTCTTAAATCTTAGTACACAAGTTTGTATAAATGCTCGACGAGAAGAAATTATATCAAATGCCAAAATAAATTGGGAACTTCTCAGATGTCATTCTAAATCCTCTATGAATAATGATAATAGTAAAAACAATAATGCAATGCAAATGCAGAAATCAAATAAATTTAGTATGTTAAAACCTAAAAGCTTAGAAAATGTAAAATCAAAGGGTTTTGGAAGTTTGACATCTATAAATGAAAATATAGAAGCAACAAAAATAAATATTAAAAAAAGGAGCAATTCTAGTGATAATTTATTTCGATTAAAAGATACAATTAAAGCATATCCATTAGAATTTAAATTGCCACCAATTTTAGATTCTATTGTAGATAGTTTAATAAACAATAAATTTGATGAAAAAATAAAGAAAAACTTAACAAAGACAAAAATCAAAAGCGACACTGAGAGTATATCAAGCAGTGATTCAGAAATTCTGGAAAGTCCTGAGAATTTGCAAAGTTGTTTAAATTCTCATTTATTAAACTCTAATAATTATGTTTCGCCATGCCATATTAGTAAAATTATTACTAATGAAACATTTGATTCCATGAATACTTTTAATTCAACCCAACTTGAAATTGTTGATGAGCAAAATGATAAGTCTTATGAAATATTAAAATCTTGTAAGCTACCAATAAATGGTAAACAAGATTTAACAAAAATATCTCAAAATATAAAGTCTCAGAATCATGGTCTAACTGATTGCCAATCAAAATCAAGCATTGATTCTTCTGGATATTGTTCTTTAGGTTCTAAAACAAATAGTATTGATAGTTGTAAGTCAGTATTGAGTGATTTCAGTACATCGTCTACCAGTAAAAATACATTGCAAAAATATAAAAATATAGAAAAAGACAAAAACAAAGTAAAAAGTGCACAAGGAAAAAAGATAGTGTGTTATAAGAGTAACAAAGCAGCAATTGTTAGAACTAAGTATAAAGCTACAACGCCACAAAGTCCAATACCATCACAAAATCCATCAAAAGAAAGGGAACAAGGTATGAGATAATATTTATGTTATGTTACTACTCTTATATCTATGTTATTTTGTAGGGGGAGATTATTTGATAGAAATAGTTGGCCGTTGCTTGAATATTTATGGTCAAGGTGCATTACGTTTTATCGACCGACTATGGGACTCTTCGAAAGCTCAAGACGTTAATATAGTTAAATTTAATTATCTACAGTTTAATGACGTGGCCAAAGTGTTATGTAAAATAAAAAATAGGTTTCCAAACTTAGAGCATTTTATGTTTAAAGAAACTAATATTAGTTATCTTGGACAACTCAATGCATTAGCTGAAGTGCAAGGATTAACAAGTATTCATATAGAAACTGGAAATCCAATTATATCAAAGGATTGGAAAGTTTATGCCATATTTCGTTTAGCTCACTGGGGTTTAAAAATTATTAATGGAAAAGAAGTAATTATTTCTTAACTTTTTCTGCAATTTTGTACAACAATATAAAAAAATCAAGAATTACTAATTCATATTTATAGAATTAATAATCTTTTTTACAGATCACAAATGAAGAAATTGATATAGCAAATGAAGAATATGCTGGTCTTGTTGATATTGTGATGTGTTCACTGCCCGAGTCTTTATTACAACCTTTATTACAAAGACTTCATTTAGAGAAAGTGCAAAAACAAACTGGAGAAATTACTGCCAAACAATTTTTACTTAACAGCGATCCAGCTCTTAGAAGTGTCGTTGCTAAGGAAGCATTGCAATGGAGAAAAGGAAATATAACACAAGTAATAAGTTGTTTAATAAATCCTTCTTGAATACTAATAAAAAGATTTTAATTCAATCTAACTTAATTGTAGGAAGACCTTATTTGGAGACACAGAGGAAAAATACATTTACTAAATTTAATCAATCTTACTGTAGATGCAATACAAAAGTTACAATTACTCGAAAGTATATGGCCAAGTATTTTATATGAAATAATTCACACTACCTTGTTTGATTTTTCTGAAATGGATGCATATATGAAACGTTGTAGCAAAACACTCGAAACTGACAAATAATAAGTACGTTATTGTATCATTTATTGTATATAGTATATAAAAGAGAATTGATAAAATTAATTTATACATTTTCCATAAAATTATTTCATTGTTAAACAAGCTTACAAGATTACTTAACTTTATGTGAATTTAGAAAATATATTCTTGTGTATTCACATAGATCTATAATCTTAGAGTATATCATATTTATTCATTACAACTGTTATTACAACTTTTCTGATATGTTTAAAATATTTGCGATAAATAAATAAAAATGAAACAATATTAATTTTTATACAATAAATCTGATTTTATGCAAGTTTATTATAATGTTAATATACAATAATGTATCTTAAATACATACAACAAATTAGAAATCTGTTAATTAGAAAAAAATGTATACTTGAAATTGTATATTTGTATATAATCTACTTTACATATATACTTTATAAGTATGGATTGCATTTCATGAGAAAATAACTTGAAAATTTTAATTTTTGAAAATTTTTCACATACATCCCAATTGTTGCTAAGTTAATAAGATTTAACAATTCATAAAAATAATTCCTATTTACAATGAAATGCAATTTCGTATAAAATAATCATTCATTATATATCACTTTGTTCCAATGATAGATTCTACACTAAAAGAGATTGTAGATTTCTTCTCCAAACAAGATCCATTCTTAGCCGCAGAAATATCGTTTTGATTATTTGCAGTAGAAGTAAAATTATTAAAACTTTTCTTCATTTTACGAGGTTCCGCAACTTGTTCGAACCACGGAATTGTGGAGTACATACTTGGGAAAGGCTGTATTTTTTTCGAACCTTCAGATTCTTGTTTATAGTCTTGTTTTTGTGGTAAACCATTCAATAATGGACCATCCGTGGTAACTGTAATAGAAGTATGCTATCAACGTATAAAAAATATAATATAAAATCATTAATATTAATATCATAGCAAAATAATAATAATAATAATAAAGAAAAAGAATAACAAAAATAAAAGAATTTTAAATTAAATTCAAAACACACTTTTTTTCCATTGATTTACTGTACAAGTACTAACATGCTGCAGGTAAACCGTGAATCGTCTTCAATCCATAAAATCCCTGGGTCACGCTAATGCTGGTTTGCGTAAAGTGTAGTTGATGACGCTGAATATTTTTTCCTCTTCGACAAATTGGTGATTGATCTGTCTTCAGTAAATATGACGAACCAGCTGTATCAATTGGTGTATGACAAACAGTCGAGACGTTTTCGCCGAAGAAATTTCCTTGAGCCTGCTGTTGTCTTCTGAGTGCAACTTGAGCTGCCATCACCCGTTGTCTCTCGACCACCAGCAAACAGCAAGGGCAACGGCAATCCTTCCACGCACACGATCTTTTGTGACCCTTCAATCCGGAAATCACACCGTGGTTCCTGCATCTAGCACACTTTGGACTTCTCAAACGTTGCTCGATTCCGGAATTAACTTGACTCGAATTACCACTGTCAGTCTTCATTTTAAATACTCCGTGTGAAGAGTATTTCCTCTTCAAAAATTCCCACGAGTAACGACTGTTTCTATCGCGTGGAATTTATTTTTGAAACATTATAGAAATTATTTGTCAGTTTGCACGTTGCACAGAATATGTTGGTACAGCATTTCATATTTATAAGTTACAAGTTACGTACAAATCCAAGAGGTTTCAATAATCACTACATTAATAAATTGCTGGTTCAACACAGCCGAACAAATATAGAGGGAATTCAAAAGTATTTCATGAACTTAAACTCGTTTATCGACTATCTTGCGATGGGACATCAATCAAATTGCTCCTCCGTTTCTAGCTGCCTGTAAGATTCTACCCGATGAAACAGTCAGTTTACACTGTTATATGAGTCATATACATAGAGGAATCTTTTCCCTCTGTCGAAGGAGGTGTCTTTCTCTTCGCATCTCCTCCTACCAATTCAAAATGTATTTTTAGAGAAGAAACATGTTGGGATTGGCTCGAAACGCGATGAAACTCCGCCACTTTTGTGGACCATGAGCCAATCGAGGCCAGCTTGAGATCTCGTTCTTCTTATTACTGTCAACTTGTATCACCTCGAGAAAAAGGGAAAAATCTTCGTTAAACCCGTACAACTTCTTTGATTACAGCCACCGTGGCGAATCTTCCTCCCGTAAGCAAACAGGCACAGAGAGAGAGAGAGAGTGATTTTATGCAAAACGACTAAGATTTATCGAGCATGATTCCTCGTGAGCAATAGAAGTACGCCTGCTTACTTATTTCTATCGATTAAAACTATTTGAATGAGATGCGTTTCCTCGATTTCTCATCGCTCAGACTAAATTAACGGAATTGTTCTTGGACTGTTTCTTCTTTATGTTTCAAGTACATTTGGATTTGAAGATTAAAATATAACGATTGACAAGTATCGTATCTCATTTCGCAATTTGTACATCTAATCCGTAGAAAAGAAGAAACGGGCACATAAAGTGCCTATTTCCCTTTGAAATCTAAATCTGAAACGCTTCATCTCTGTTCGTCAGAGCATAGATATATACGTACGATTTTTATCCAAAACAAGAGAAGAGCATAACATTCATTGTCGGATTTCTCCAGCACTCAAACTCTGCCGGTGCCTAAAGAACACTCATACGTTAAGAAAACATACTCGAAACTAATATTAACTGTGCGTTGGCAACATCCGAGAGGATCGTATTAACGAGCTCTTAAAGCAAGATCACAGAAAGAATGCCATGTGGCCGCAGCTGGCGTTACCGTTGTTAGTCGAACGTGTGATTCTCTCCCTTCTATTTTTGCAGTGTGGAATAGGACGAAAAGGGGCAGGAAGATTGCACTATCCTTCGCTTCCCGATACTTGAACGATATTATATTTTTAGTTGTAACCGAAAGCGATCTCATCTCATTCGATGACATCCGACGACGTTTCCACGGTTCGAACTTTTAGTAGCCATTTTCCGTGCGTATAAAACTGAAATATCGTGCTCGAGTATAATTTTAAAAAATGAAACACTTATTACGCATGTGAGTCGAACATCGACGAAGGAAAATATTGTTAGCAACAGCGTTTATTAAAGAAACATCTCGTTTTCCTCGTAGACGATGAAAGGAACGATCGATCAGGCAAGTTTAAATTTACATCGACGCCGGTAAGCACGCGTGAAACGCACCAAGGAATTTGCCCTAATGAGCGTGGAACGAAGGGGTGTCACTTTAGACGTTCCTCCCTTTTTCCCATCGGACATGGACAGCTTCGCTCGAGGGTGTTGTCACTGCGGCAAATATGTTGACAGGTCATTCAACATCTTTCCAACGTTTGCCTGTGGCAGATCCTCGTTGAAGATGCGTGACCGAAGAGATGTTGCACCTCAGAATATCCATAGCTAAGATTGGCTCTTTTCGAGACTCTCTCTCTCTCTCTCTCTCTCT